AGAGAGAGAGAGAGAGAGAGAGAGAGAGAGAGAGAGAGAGAAAGAGAGAGAGAGAGAGAGTATCCGTATGATGTCTGTGTTTACCCAGTCACTCCCAAGTAAGGGCAATTTTGATATCTTTCTTTCCTCAGAGGTTATAAACTTTGCAGTCACTTTAGAGTACAACACCACTGGAATTGATCTTCTACCAGGAAGCTCAGACTACCAAAGGCTAACAGAATCGCTGAACCAGACGGTTAGTTAATGCTAACTCAAAGTTGATTTGGTATAGTTTCTGATCTGACCAATAAGTTTTCATCTGGCCTGGCTGGCTTTAATTGAAATTTTGCACTGCAAGGTTGGGCTGTTCTTGTGTTCAGTATGAACTGAGCTGTGAGCGAGAGTGTGTTCACAAACATGTTACTGCGGATGGTTGGAGGGTGGCTTTGGTAGGTCTTACTTCTTTTTCTTCCCTCTGTTATTTTTATCTACCCTTCTGGCTTCTTCCCTCGGGTTTGGGGGTTCGAGCCTAAGCTCGGTCCGACGCTGTGTCCTTGGGAAAGGCACTTTACACGAATTTCCCATTTGGCCCGGTCCTTTCGGAGATGGACCTTTAACTCGAAGGTCCCGCCTCTTAAATAACCTACTAGTGTTGATAGGGGGGTTGAAACCATACCATTTCACCATTTCTATATGACCATTATTATGCCAATGCATTTCTCTTTACTTCAATTCAAACATGTCACTGTATGTACTGGGTTGTTTGTTCGTTGACAAACATGTCACCCTGTGTACTTTGTCGATAAACATGTGACCGTGCGCTCGTCTGTTCCTGTGGAATGTTGGTGGGTGCTCTGGTGTGGTTTCCTGCTTCATTCCTATCAAACATCAATCGTCCTTATCCATCCTCCTTCTTTTTGGTGTTTGTTACTCTCTTGTAACACCTCTAATCTTTGGAATTTATACGACCTTATTGTGTTGCAAGTACCGTAAAACTCTTACTAAGACTAAAAACGGTCTGCTCCCTAGATGTCCAAACAAGCGGCGAACTTTGTGCCAGGACTTGCCAGCCTCTCGGTGAAAGCACTCAGGTAACACATACAGGACATACTGCTGCTGCTGCTGCTGCTGCTACTACTACTACTACTACTACTAGCTATAATAGTAATAATAATAATAGTAACAACCAGGCTGAGAAGCGCCAACGACGAAAGGAAAACAGCGGAAACACAGAGCTTCGATCTACAACACTGACATGCAAGCACTGCGACAGAGTCTGCGCTTGAAACATAGGAAAAATTAGCCGTGAAAGAAGCTGCATGAAGAAAACCCTGAGATCATCTTAAGCTAAACTGACCGTCTGCATAGACGATAATAATAATAATAATAATAATAATAAAAATAATAATAATAATAATAATAATAATAGTAATAATAGTAATAATACTTTCGTCCGTTAAAGTCTGATGATGACCAATACATCTGCAGAGGAGAATATTTCTTTACT